TTGCTGTTTCTTTTGTTTCATTCATTTAGAGTGACATTTTCTTAGCTAGGTGGATAATAGCATTTAACTTATTATTAAAGAGTCACAGGAAGATGAAGGTTCTAAAGCTCTGAATTGAGCATTCTGAAGGACATATAGAGATTGCAGAGGTTAGCATAATTAAAATTGAACAAGATTGTATTGAATTGGTAGCAATAATACAAATTTTGGAATCAAAGAAATGACAATTGGAGTTTAGTTGCAAGAGTAAGCTATTTTGGATGTTGTATGTATGTATAGTTAGTGGGCTGCATTGTGGTTCAATATTAGGATCGGGCTAAATTTATTAATTCATTCTTAAGCTGATTTAATTATTGCATTTAATTCTAAATCCATATTACCAGTCAGTTCCAACTGAAAGGCCACTTTTGTATAAGTACAGAATCTTATCCCATGACTCAATATATCTCGCGGTCTGGATTAGAGTGCTGATGCTCAGAACTAAAATGGGGCATTAGAATTACTCAAAAATTGAACAAGCATGATTCACAGACATGGATAGAATAATCATGTAATATAATCTACTCTTATAACATTATTCATAATCAATGGCATTTCAATGTTCATATCCTTCAATTTTTCTTGTTGTTTATTATTTAGTATATGACTTTTCAATTCATACTCGATTAAATGCAGTTAAGATGACAACATTTACATAGATAATGCACATAGTTTTCTATGAAAAAAAATCAAGAAACAAGCATGAAGAAATATTGTTTTCTATGTATAGTTAGTGGGTTGCATTGTAGTTCTTACTTTGCTGCTTGGTTCTTATCAGGTATATGTGATGGTTGGTGCAGGAAAAGTAAAGATTGAAACAATAATCAAGAGATATGTCAAGAGTTGGAAGTACCATTTTTAGCAATTAAGAGATTATGTGGTGGTTGCTACATTAGTGTCTTTTTTGTGATTTGAGTTCTTAATAGATTGCTTAATGCCTATCATTTATTATATTACTTTTACATTTAATTAGATGGCTTATTAATCTTCTAGGAGGTTTTGGCATAATTTTAAGGTAGATAACTCTTTATCTACAATGGACGAGTAAATAATTAAATATTACTTAAGGTTGTGCAGAGAAAACTACCATTTTTTTAATTTTTTTATACAATTCTGCAGTTTTTTTTTTTAATCATGTTACAGATATAAAATAAATTTAGTCCTGCCTATAGAAAGTTTAATGGATCTTTGAGTTGTTAAGTTTAATTTTGTTTCAATAATCTCTGTAGACTGGTCTTTGCCTTTTTTGCTTTTTAGAGAAAAGATATTCATATGATTCCATTTCTTTATTTTTAATTGTCTGCAGTCATAGCAACTATAATATTTTTACATAAACTTACAATCCATAGGCATTCATTATATGGCACTCCCAATTATATGTTTTGCCTCTTTTTTTCTTGCAATTTCAATAGGCTACTCAAGTAGGTTTAAAGTTTTGCTACAATTTCTGCAAATGTTGTTCATAAATTTTTTTCATGACTATGTTCATATACTTTTTGCCATTTTATCTTACCGATGGCTAACCAACAAATACTTGATAGGTAATAATACAGTAACCTATTTGCAAATAGTTAAACTTCCTGTATAATTCAGTGGCTTATCTTTTTTCCATGTTGTTATTGAAAACAACCTTAAGCTTAAGAATCTTTTTTTCTTGCACTTTCCGCATCTACTTTTTGTCTGGTATTGTCAGCCAAGCTTACATTCTTCATCCCAGGCCAAGTTGTTTAAATTATACAAAAAGATAGAGGTTCGCACATCCTCTGGATATGTGCAGAAGGAAGAATCATCATTGACATATGGCTTGTTGCATTAATTCGCATCCTAGCTGTTCAAGCAGTGATTGTGAAACTTGCTTTATATCTTCACATACAGGTTTATAACCCCTCCTAAGCAATTCCTGAAATGCCCTCTCCATACCCACCAGTGCTCCACATTTGAATTTTGCACGAACAAGGGTTCTTAAAAGTACCCAGCTCGGAAAGATACGGCCACCATATATTTTTTTCTCAATCTTCTCTATCCCTTTTGCATTTCCTCCCTTTGCAAAACACTGAAGCATCAAAGAGTGTGGGGTTTCATTAGGTCTGAAACCTTTATTTTTCATGTCTAGAATAATAGATTCTGCTGCTTTCCAGTCACCACGTCTAACCAAAGCATTTAGAAGCGCATCGTAAGTTGTGGAACATGGCACGAAACCTACTTCAATCATCTCCTCATACATTTTTGTAGCATTAATCTCTGACCCACAGCGACCATAAGCACCAATCAAAGTGTTAAATGTGTCTCTATCAGGCTAGAAACCGCAACTTTTCATTTCCCGAAAGACTCGGTTAACAATACTTAACATATTGGTGCATTCCCGTGTTACCACACATGGCAAGCAATGTGTTCCATGTAATGCGGTTAGGGGAAATCCACTTGATTTCATGTCACAAAGTATCTTTATCATCTCCTCTGATCGTGACTTTTTCCCTAACATCCCAAGCATAGCATTGTAAGTGCACACGTTAGGGACACATCCTGACTCTTCCATCTTGTCAAACAATTTCAAAGCCTGATCCTCCTCTCTTGCTTTCCCATGGGCATTGATCACAGTTGTATACGTAACAGCATTCGGCATCACTCCTTTGTGCATCATTGTCCCAATCAGGGCTGCTCCTTCCTGTAAAACCCAGCTCTCACATAAGAGGCCACAAGCTCATTATACGTTACAGAGTCGGCAGGACCGTTATTACCCTCCATCTCTTTCAAAATGCTCAAGGCCTCTGAATAAATCCCTGCCTTACCAAAAACTTGGAGCATTGCATTATAGGTAATCGTCCCAGGTACATAGCCTTGGGACTTCAATTTTGCAAAGAACTCCTTTGCTTCATTTAGCAGACCCTCTCTCTCACAAGCAGATGTCACAGTACTGCAAGTAAATTCATCAAATTTGAGTCCATTGCTCCTCATTTCATCCAGTAGGCCTAAAATTTTATCCCAAGAGCAACCCATCTTCCCATAAACATCAAGCATGACATTATAAGTGACTAAAGTAGGAAACAGCCCTGTCTCCTCCATTCTCTCAAACACAGAGATTGCTCTTTTGTACTTGCTAGTACGAGAATACAGATGAAGAATGGTCATATTTGCTCGAACATCAAGAGAATAATCCTCAAGCGAAATTACATCGAGCAGCTTGGATGCGATCAAATGCTGTGATTCTCTCCCAAGAATTCTAACCATTAGCTCAACAACCTGATTGTCTATTTTGACATTATAAGACTTTAAATTCAACACTACCCATTCAAAGAATAAAAGGGCTCTTTCCCAATTGCCCGAATGAGCTAATGCTTTCAATAAACTAAATATATCAGCTTCAAGCAGCATAAACTTGTTAGAATCGAAGAAATCATTCAAGCTATGCAATGGCTGTTCCACGATTGAATCCAGCATAAACTTACCCTTTCTCGACAAATATTCAAATGACCCATCTCCCAACTGACCCTCCTCCTTACTGCCGTTCAACTGCAAGATTGAAACCGAATTGGGTTTCCTGGGATGTGCTTGTCGATTAAGATTTTGACTAGAATCAACAGAAATATGCCGAGAAGTCATCTGGGTATTATTGCTTTGAGGTTGGTTTGGACCAGCGGGGAGCGTTTGGTGTGGCAGAGAGGTTGAGGAGGTGTTGTAGGAGAGAATCCAGGGGAAATGAGGGTGGAGTTTGGGATTGAGGAGGCAGTGGAAGTGTGGTGGGGCTAAATTTCAGAGTTGGGTTTGGGCATGCTGGTCTGTTCATGGCAGCGGGATGGAGTGGGCGATTGGGGAGGATACTTCCCTCCATTTCGGAGGAAAAAGGATGGGTTTTTTGGGGTTTGGGTTGGGATTCAGATATGGATGTTTTCAGGGGAAGATTGGATTGGCATGGCACATGGCACTGGCAGTGTGAGGATATGGAATCTACGATGACTGGTGTTGATTGAAGATGAATTAAGCAGAAGGATTGGGCGCCCTGTTTGGAAGGCTGTTTTTGTTTTTGGATCATCCAGTCGTTTTATGTTTCTCATCTCAAATGGTAGACACAAAAGGCAAAAGGTCTAATTTTTCTTTCTTTCTTTTCTATTCTTTTTTAATAAAAAAATTTATTTTTAAGTAATTTTTTATAATAATAATTAAAGAAAAAATA